CTCTCTCTCTCTCTCTCTCTCTCTCTCTCTCTCTCTGTCTCTGTCTCTTCAGGCTCACCAGCGTTGAGGAGGAAATGTGTCATTTAATTTTCATCGCGTTGTTTCCCCAGACCGGAAGGTCATAGCAGTTGAAAATGGAAGACCCCATTTGAAAAGGAAGCTTTGCCTCTCAGGCCAGAGCAGAGCTATTCCTACTGACTCTGGGGCCTGCTCCGGTCTGGGGCGGAGAATTACACTCTGCCAGAAACAACTGGTTCAAACGGTTTCTGCCTCCTACCTTCCTTTAAACTAAAATAGTTAAAAATAAAAGGTGAGGAAGAAATGCCAATAACTGTGGTAAGTAAAGGCATACTACTTGATGTAATTGGAGAGGAACAAAGTCCAGGGACATTAAGGGAGGTATAGCCAATTGATTTGCTTGACTGGATTAGAAAGAGGACTTAGGTGTAATAAGAGATAAAGGCAGTAGGTAAGAGGAAGGAGTAATTGCTCCGAAGGCTTTTAACCCATGTCGAGAATGGAGATTTGGTCTCAGGGACGGGCACGCATCTCAGCTGACTTCAAAGCAAGGAAGTGAGTTGCGGAAGCATTTGAGGAATGTTATTTGTATTCCTGAGTGGCAGTGGATTAGCGTGAAGAGAACAGTGGAGTGAAAGGAAGCTTTGTGCCTGTGGGAACAGGAGGTCAGACCTGAGTGGGTCATGGAACGATGGAGGTTGACATATATGACAGATAGGCTTGATGAGGAAGTGGAGGCAGAGGCCAAGGATGATGTCCAGACCTGGGGTCTGTCTGGAAGGAGAGGCTGCCTCCAACAGGAATGGGATGCCAGCTAAAGGGAATGCGCCTTAGCTGGCTTTTTGAATGACCTCACAGACCGCGAGAAAGGTGAGAGTTGAAGATAAGGTGAGAGGTGAAACAGGGTTTCTTCTGTTGCAGGTCTTGATTTAAGTCAGGCAAATCCAAGGTATCCCCTAGGGAATGAGACAGTAGATAAAGGATCGCCATAGGGATTTTTCTTGAATCGCCAGGGTCAGCAGCTTTGAGTCCTGTCCAGCACCTCCTTCCCAAGAGTGGCCCTGCTTGGGGGCATTCTCGTGCCTAAGAGCATGGACTGAACGAACGTCCAGTTAGGGTTCTGAGGTCAGGCAACTAGAATTTTGCCCACATTTCAATACCAGCACAAATTGGTTTAGGGTGAATTTTCCTGCTTTGCTTTTAAGAGACTTGTAAAAACATGTCCTTTTCACTGTGTATGAGCTGTGACTTTAACTTGTGTGGTTTTTTTTTCTCTCCTCCTTTTACCCTTGTGTTTAGATGAGACCTGCTAGAGCCAAATTTGACTTTAAAGCTCAAACACTAAAGTAAGTATCATGTTGTATTTATTCGTCGTCTTCACAGCCTCTTTGAAACACAGCCACTCACTTTTAAAGAAAGTCAGAAATGTATTAATAAAAAAAATGTTGACTAGCATTACTATGTCATAAACCCCGTTCAAAGTAGTGAATTCGTTCAACCCTGGTCACATGTTCATGAGATGGTGAGTTCTGCAGTGGGCTCTAGTGGTCAGAGATGGCGAGGATGGCACAGGACAGGGCAGGCTTCAGGTCTGTTGTTCGAGGAGTCACTTCAAGTCATGCTCGATTCGCGGGCACTTGACAACAACATCACTCCACGAGTGTGGCAGGTACTGTTCTTGTCCCCTCTGCACAAGTGAGGAAGCTAATTAGAGGTTAAGAAACTTATTCAAACACAGCAAAAGGCCCTCTTTGAAATGAGAGAAAAATGCAGAACAAAACTCAAATTCGTAGAAAAGACCAAACTTACTGGACTGAGAGAGGCTGAAGAACCGCCAAGCGTATGACTTCTCCAAAAACAACCCCAAACCCACTGCTTTTGATCCACTCCAACTCATAGCAACCCAGGAAGGACAGACCAGAACCACCCCACAGCGTTTTCTAGGCTGTCAGTCTTTACAGAAGCAGATTGCCTATATTTCTCCCATTGAGCAACAAGTCAAGAGTTTAGCTGCTGCCCCACCAAAGCACCTCTGTCATCCTGACAAACCCTTTTAACCTAGAACAGAAATCACTCTCAGAGGTCACCTCACAGCCAAATAATAGACTGGCCTGTAAGACAAACAGTTACACCCACAAGCAGTGTGCTTCTTAGAATAATCCAAAATGACATCCAGATGGACAACATATTTTCCAGAAGCAAAGACGAGAAGGTCAGGAGGGGCAGGGAAACTGGAGGGACAGAAATGGGGAGAGAGGGGTAGAAGTTAGAGCGAGGTGGAATGCTGACACATTGAGGAGATACCAACCAATGACAAATTGTGTATCAACTGTTGAATGGGAAACTAATTGGTCTGTGTACCTGCATTTCCCCCCACCCCCCCAAGAAACCCCCCCACAACAACCCAAACCCATGAACATGCCTGAGCTGATAAGAAGGAGTCAGGGTTCAAACCCAGGCCTTTTCCTGTGGAGGGGCTCAGTTTCCTTGATTAAGGGTAGGCTTGATCGGACATGCCCTTTCTATGGAAGAAGCCAGAATCAGTGACCAGAAAGATAACTTTACTAGTCTTGCTGACACCTCCCAGGAAATGAAAGGCCTGTGGGAACACAGATGAGGCTAGCATTTCTGCAGGTGTGTGCTTTGAGAAGGTGGTCGTCAGGAAAATGCATTTGAAACCACTGCCTACTACTATTATCTGTACCTCCCATCCCACTTTGATACAGCCATCATTGCCCAATGGCTCTAAAATTCCTCCAGTGAGGAAACCTGTCAGGCTTAGCTAACAAGTGTTCCAGGGGAGCTGGGAACTGTCCATGGAGCTGTTGAGTTGCAGGACGCTACAGGTTGCAAAAGGAACCTGTTTGTTTTCTTTCTAACTGAGGGTGAAAATAGGCCACAGGTGTCCATTTGCAGCTAAAAATTAAGTGACTGGCAGCTATGCTGATGGCCCATCAGTAGGAGGTGATAAGAAAGCCCCCTTCATCCTCAGATGCTGGGAAATGCTGAGTGTGGGCCCTAGCAGTCATGGTGCAGATAACTTCTGACATAAAATAATGATGAGGCTATGATTTCTAGGACACATGGACAAATACAGGGAGCTCTAGTGGTTTATTGGTAAGGAGTTGTGCTCCTAACCCAAAGACCCACAGTTCAAGTTCACCAGCTGCTCCGTGGGAGAAAGATGGACAGTCTCTTCCAGTGCCATTTACTGCCTCTGAAAACACACCGGGGCGGGGGGGGGGGGGGGGGGGGGGGGGGGGTGTCAGCGGTGAGTTGGTTCTGACTTGATAGTGCGTACCAGCAATAACAGTGGGCAAATATGGTACACTTTTGTCTGTCATTACTCTAATCCTTTGATTCATCAGCTAACATGAGTTGGTAGGATTCCAGGTTTTAGAGGCAGGAAGTCCTCAGTTCAAATCCTGATTATGCCACTCACTTTCAGTCTCTCTCCTGCTGTTTTTTCCTCTATATGTTGAAGATTTAAAAAAAAAAAAAAGTCTCTCTTGTACCGCAGCTGAGGACACAAGTGATTTAAGTCATCACCAGTAAAACATTTTGTGTAATATCGCATAATGCTCAAAATATATTATCTCTCACTCTTTATTTTAACCAGAGACAGGAAAACCGAGATAGGTTCTTGACTGGTTAGCCAAACTGATGCCTTTCAACATGAGATCAAGACAAATGTAGTATCATCACTACACCATTCTATTCATCTTGTCTAGAATGTTCCCAGTTCAAAGGAAAACAAAGACATTGTTATCCCCATCACACTACTGAGAAACTGTGGGAAAGATTGGGTAATTTATACACCTCTGCTCACTTCCCTTATGTCTCAAGATCAAAGGTGATATCGTCCAGAGGACAGGGATGCTCCCAGGGCTGTGATGGAGTTAAGGGGTATGTCCCACCCTTAATTCTTTAACTGTTTCATTTACCAGATCATGGGCAATCATTGCAGAACTCCACGTTACATCATTACCCATATGCAATCCATGGGGGCACAATCTGATCCATGATATTAATGAAACCTTTTGAAAGAGTAAATACCAGTTCCATAGACTTTGAGTGTTGGAAGCACCTTCACAGTCTCTTGGTTGTAGATTTCCCTGTATGTTGCTCAGAAGAGTAATGCCACACCAGGAAAGATCTAAAGTACATCATACTCCTCCTTCGTGTGTGAATCCCAAGGAGGTGGTATTCAGAGCCGCTTCAAGGAGGGCTTTGTGAGAATTTAGTCAAAGATATTCCTTTGGCCCAGGGGCAAGTGTAACCCCTTCAGAGGCCTTTTTAGGATCAGAAGAATCTTGTCTATCAATGTGGGACCTACAAAGGCCGCCTTGTTCTCTCAGGCCTCACAGTGTGGACTTTGTGTGAAGTTTTCCAGATGTGCCCCCATTGTTTAGCCAGCATCCCTCACGCACCATGGGACTTCCTGGTACACTGCAAAGCAGGCACTCCCCCTCCAAATTACAATCGGAGGCCTTGCTTCCCATGGTCTTGGTCTGTTGCAAATGGAAAGAATTTAGGTCATTTTCTCTCTTCTAGTTAAAACTTTTGTTCTCCTTTAATGTTTTCCTTTTGTTTCTCGTTTCCTTGTTGTCTCAGTCTCAAAGGCATTCTGATTAGCTATTGATACCATCTTTTAGACAAACCAAAGGGTTGGGTATGGAAGAAATTTAAGTGGCATGAAGAATGTATGAAGGAATAAACACTTTTCTCTCCAAGATCCCTTTTCCATGTTGAAAAGGAAAGGAATGAACCTTTACTTAGGCAATTTGCTGAGTGTGTTACCTGTAGCACATCTGTAGTCTCCTGACAACACTTAAGCTCCTGTTTTAGAGCAGGAGAGTCCCAGAGCTGTTTAACCTCGCCCAAGGTCCTAGAGCTAGGACACCATAGAACTGAGGGTGGAACCCAGATCTATCTAAATTTAGAACCTTTCTGTGGATAGAAGGAGACTGAAATGATTGGATGGATGTCTAAATGGAGTGCTAGAAGGGTACCGATATATCACAAGGCAGTTGAGGGTAATTTAAGTGAACTCACTCACTCATGTCTGTTGAGTGGAAAACCAACTCATAGCTTACTCTCCATTCAGTTCCCAAGGCCATAAATTGAATGGGAGGAGATTGCCCATCTTTGTCCCTTAGAGCCACTTGAAGATTCAGACCACCAGAGAGGTGGGGTCTTTTGGCTTAACAGTGTAGCTCAACTAATTTAAATGAAGGCACGATGACATACTGGGCATAGACGAGAGCAATGAAAGAGACTTTTAAAAAATCATCTGTTAAATATTAGACTTTTAAAAAATCATCTGTTAAATATTAATTAGGAAATCTAGGTACATTACTATGTCTTGGATGATGATTCTGAGGCTTAAATAGTATTCATACTAAAAACTATGTTGGGGAAACTACCACAGATACAAATTAAGAAGGCTTTTAAGTACTTTGCAGTGCTCGTCAATTTGATGTTAAAATCCATCCAAGTGTGGTGTAATCCCTTCAGCAGTGGAGTTCTCCCCTCCAAATATGTGGAGCACACTATTCTTTAATCTGCCCCCCCCCCTTTGGCCCCACTTGGAGTCTCCTTTTGCTAAAATTCTGAAACATCTCAACCTTGCCTATAGTGAAACCTGTTAAAATGCCTTAATCCTCTGTTGACAGGGAGCTTCCTCTACAGAAGGGAGATATTGTTTACATTTATAAGCAGATTGACCAGAACTGGTATGAGGGCGAGCACCACGGCCGAGTGGGCATCTTCCCACGCACCTACATCGAGGTACCAGCTCCTTCCCTTTCTGAGGAAAAGCACCATTGAGTCACTATGCCATTGGGTTTCATTTCCTTCTTTTTCTCTCATTTTCCTACTTTCTTTTTGCTTTTTTTTTCCTGTCTTAGCTTCTCCCTCCTGCTGAGAAGGCTCAGCCCAAAAAGATGACACCAGTGCAGATTTTAGAATACGGCGAAGCTGTTGCAAAGTTTAACTTTAATGGTGACACGCAAGTGGAAATGTCCTTCAGGAAGGTAAGCTCATCACATGGCCCGGGTCCTGTTGGGTGGGTGTTACGGGTCATGTGGTACTGTCTCATGGGCCGGTATGATGACCCTGTCTGTACCTCTTAGAGATGTGCACTGAGCGTGCTTGAGTTAAGGAAATTAGAACATTTTCAGAAACTAGGTAATTTTAGAAATAAACCTTGGAAAGAAGGTGTCAGATTAGACTACATTGATTCAACACTGAAAGACATTATTTATAGTCTTATTAACTGAGAGAGCACTGGAAGATAACCCCCAAAATGGGAAGGCACTTGGAACGCATAGTGAACTCAACATCAGACTTAAGCATGCCAGAGACCATGAAGATCGTACAGGCAGGGCTTACAAGGGCCACTGTGAGTCAGAGGCAACTCAGTGGCCGCTAACAATAAGGCATCTGCCACAAACCGATCAACATCTCTTGAGCACTTGATGGTGTAATAAATACTGCAGTGGAACAAGCTTTAAAACACACTGGTATGGCCTAGTGGAAAAAGCAAGGATATTCTGTTTGGTTATTTTCTCTATACAAGGAGAAATTTTTAAAAAAACTTAGAAACCATAAATCACAGGTTATCAACTCTGTAGCTTTTTAGGGAGTTAAGTAATCTTTCCAAGGCTAACGTTGTGGTCAGGGGACAAAATGAGACAGCTAAGTGAAGCCCGCAGCATAACACCTGGCATCCAGTCAGTGCTCAGTAAGCAGGAGACATCAGTTTTAACATCCTAACCGCCTTTGAGTAAACTCAGCATGTTGATAGGAACATAATTGAGCTATGAAGAAACTCTTCTTCTTAGGAGCTCAAATACTTGGAGCTGCTTGCTAAAATCACTGATGATACTCTTAGGGGGATTTTGTTGTTGTTATTGTTGGAGAATAAAGGAAATGGGGGGAAAAATGCCTTTGAAAAGACGGGCCACTTTGTGTAAAAACAACCTAAATTCCCATCAGCTTGGGAATCAATAGTTAAATCATTTATATGGCTGTGGAGTAGAAAAATCCTGTGGTGGTTCCTTACCATTAATGGTTGTGCAATCCCATTAAAAACATAAAAATACACTTCTTGATAAAGAGGAATGTTCACTGTATATTATTAAGTATAAAATATTTTTCAAAAGTGAAATACAGTGTTCAGTATTGTTAAGAAAAAAACAGATGCAAGGTTCATACAAGAGCATAAAGATAGATCTGGGTAGACCGTATAGCGAAAGGTCAACAGATGAGACAAGGACGGGGAAGCTTGGTCTCACATACTTAGGGCGTGTTGTTAGGAGGGACCAGTCCTTGAAAAGAGACATCATACATGAAAGGTGGAGAGTCAGAGAGAAAGACCCTCAACAGGATGGACTGACTCAGTGACTGTAACAATAGGTTTGAGCCTGTCGGAGAATGTCACAGGATAGAGCACAGGGTCTCTGAGAGTCACAGTCAGCTCAATAGCACCTAACACACCACTAATCCCCAAGTGTATGAGTAATTTTTGTAATTATAAGTTTGTATTTCTTACATTATAAAAAAGAAAGAAAAGATAACCTTCCCACCTCACTCCAAAAAAAAAATCCTCCGACTTTGCCTTAGCAAAGAATACTGGATAATTGTCTATCTGTGTTAAATAAGTACGAAGACGAAAAAGAAGTCTGTGGGATGCTTTTCAAGCTGGAGGTAATGAATCAGACCTTCCTCCTTACTGAACTATTTAAAAATCAGACTTGACTTCCCAGTGTGCAGGTAGCTCTACTGCTGTGGCATCCCGTCTTAGTGATGTCGATTCCATTTATTCCATGTAGTGAGAGCCAGAAAGATTCTCCTGAGTGATAAATAAGTTGAGATGTGCAGAGTGTGGGCAGGGGCCTCTGGCTGCAGAGGCATGGGGTCACAAGAGCCGTTTCCTTGCTGTGTCTTGCAGGGAGAGAGGATCACGCTGCTTCGACAGGTGGATGAGAACTGGTATGAAGGGAGGATCCCAGGAACGTCCCGACAAGGCATCTTCCCCATCACCTACGTGGACGTGATCAAACGGCCGCTGGTGAAAACCCCCGTGGACTACATTGACCTGCCTTACTCCTCCTCCCCAAGTCGTAGTGCCACTGCAAGCCCACAGGTATCCGAGCTCCTCCCCGTCACCAGGTTTCACACTCAGCAGGGCCAACCTCGGGTTACACCCACAGCACTGTGATTCTGTCTGCAGCACAGCAGAGTGAACAGTGGGGTTTGTTTTCACATACACAGATGGCATTTTTCAAGCACTTGGTGAGAGAAATGGAATCTTAGGGAAAGGAAATGATCTGGGGCTTAGGTGACTAGGGAAAGAGAAATAAGGATTCTTTTCAACTTTATCTGTTGGTTCAAAACTCCGTACTCTAAGCCTCTCATCATGTAGGAGCTGTGCTCTGGTACCACCACTGTGTCATAAACACCAAGCCCAGCATAGTGTTGTGAACCAGGACGGTTTTCCTAATCATCTTGTTGGTCATGCTTGGCCTAGAGAAGACAGACATTGAAAGAGAATTTCACATTCTCAATCACGTAGAAAGCTCTAGATTATTCTTTGCAGGAGTATTCACTGGAAAGAGGCTGGAAGTGAATTTACATCTTTGTTAGCACTGACCTGAAAGAGATTAGGGAACGTAGGTACATGCAGTAAGATGTTTGTTTTACGGAACACTGACTATGAGTAAGCTTGTTCTAAAATATGTTATTCTAAATCAACCCTTATGTTCCCAAAGCCAAGAGGGGGGTGGGGAAAGAAAGCTTTGGGTTCTACAGAGGTACCAAGGGGTGAAATCTTGAGAAATAAGCCGAACTTATGTGATAAGTTGTAGGGAGGGTGTCCCAAGAATGAGCACAGGACCCAGGAGCCCAGGTAACACGTGGCAGGTGCCTCTTGTCATTTCCTCCTCTCCCACCTGCTCACTGCTGACTCCAGTAGCCAGACCCATATCTTGTGATCTCAAGGGCAGGGACCCGTGCCCTCCTCTCCCAGTTGGTCTTCGTTGACCTCCTGCACAGAGTGACCCATATCCTGTGACCTCCCAAAGGGAGTGAGATTAGAGCAGGGGGTTCTGCTTTGTGGCGATACAAGCAAGTTAGCTAGATTCTTCAGTCAACCAGAACCCAGCACTATTGGAAAAGATGACTATACACGCTACATTCTGGAAATTTTTTATTTTATTTTATTTATTTTTTTTTTGCTAGACCCTTTAAAATGACAGTCCAAGGAATGCCCCCAGTGATGGACCATCTCTCTTCCCTGTGGTTCTGGGTCAGGGCTTAGGTTGCAGAGGTGACCTGGGTGGGAGAGTGAGAGGATTGGAGGGAGGGAGCAAGCTTCCTATGTGTCCCTTTGGAAACCTGATTCTGTTAAGGAGGCGGGAAGTACCTGTGACAACTCTAATGGGAACCTTTTTCCATACCACTTGCTTCTGGCATCCTCCCCACAAACGTGCACACTCCACACACACACACACACACACACACACACACACACACACAGGCGCGTGCACGCACTCACTCACTCTCTTGGTCATGAGCCCACATCCCCTCCTCCCTTCAATCCTGAGTGATTTCCTTTCTGGACGCCAGGGTGTCAATCTCATCTCCTCCATTCCATTCCTCTCTATTACCCCCCTGGGGATTATTTTACTGCTTTCTTCTTTATGCTGACACTTGTATCTTTTGCTTCTTTCTTATGTTTTCTCTCTCCTTTTTAAGTTTCCCAGTCATAGCAAGCTCATCACGCCAGCCCTCTCATCTGTGCCCCACCCCTGCCAGACCCAGACCGTGTCCCCTGAGATGCACGCCATCACTTCCGAGTGGATCTCACTGACTGTGGGCGTCCCAGCCAGGCGCTCTCTGGCCTTGACCCCACCTCTGCCTCCTCTGCCAGAGACTACTGTCTATAACCCCGATCCCTTCACCTTGTCGATGAGGGCCAGTCCCTCCCTGTCCCTCAGTCTCCCTCATTCTAGTTGGCTAGATCGTTCTACCCCACGCACAGTAACTTCCCCACTGGCTCTACCTCCACCCCACAAACCCTACTTCCTGGCCTCCAGTGCCCAGGCCTCCCTTCATGTCAACGGAGATGGTGGTATCTACATGCCACCTTCAGGTGTCCGCCAGAATAGTTTCTCCCAGCCACTGCTTGGACGCTCTGAGAAGGTCATCTCTGAGCTTAGTGATGCCTTTAGCAGTCAGAGCAAGTGGCAGCAGTGGAGGGACGAGAGCAGACAGTATGAGAGGCGAGCAGAGAAGGAAGCAGGTGAGAGAGGCCCTGGCGTACCCAAGATCTCTCGGAAGAGCTGCTTGAAACCTTCAGACGTGGTCAAATGCCTGAGCACTGAACAGAGACTCTCAGATCTCCAGCCTCCTGAGGAAGGCCGGCCCCACAAACCCCCGGGCGGCCTTTTTCCAGGAAGGGAGGCTGAGCAGACAGAGCTGCGTAGAACTGGTGAGCAGGCCGAAAAGAAAGCTACCCTGAGTGGTGTGAGCCAGGTAGGCCTGCAGCATGACGTGTGTGCCCTCGGCATTGCATTTGGTAGGGTGGGCCATCCACCCAAACCCAGTGGGTGAGGGTGAAAACTGTTTCCCTTGAAAGCAAAGATATGGCTAGGAGGAAACAGAGGGGCCTTTAAATAAGGTGTCAGGGCACAGCAGGAGGCCAAGGACAGGCTTGATTTTGGCCTTTTCACGAGAGCCACCAGTTACCCCCACTTTGGACACCTCTTGGTCTGGCACAAAGGCACATGGCAAGGAAAGCCTTCCTGTGCCCCATCTATACCTTGGAGATAATCCTTGATTTGCTCTAACATAGCTGAGAACACCAGGCTTCTGTTTGGTGTGCTAGTTCGGTTTTGTTCAGCTTTGTGTGCAAGGCACTTTGTTTACGTAACCCATGGTTTGCTTCTGGCGCTCAGTTCCCCCAGGTCTGCGTCCTGTGTCCTGTCTGTGTGTGGGAGTGCAGGGTCTGTGTTTATGATGAGCGGTGCATTGTAGTTCTGGGGAGGGATTTCTGGGTCTACCTGCCTAGGGTTCTGGCGAGCCTGGCATCATCCAGTGGGCACACCAGATTTTGATGGAGTCTGCTCCATCTTCACTCCAACTCAGTCACAAAGATCTGATTGGACCAGAGTGGCCTTAACATTTTCCGAGGAGTGGGAAATTTCAGGAGGAGATGAACTTGGCAACTAGACCAGCCATGATTCTCATCTTGGCTGTGCAGTTTTAGTACCCTAAATGTCAAAGACTTTGGACAGTTCCTCAAAGTAGAGTATGGAGTTCTGACTGAGTGTAAACTGACTTTGGGATTGGAAATAATCAAGTTGGAATGCTTTTCCACCTCTTACTAGCTGGTGGCATAGGAGGCCCCCTCCCCTTCTCCGAGCTTCCATTTCATCTGTGAATGCAGCTATCAGGTGCCTCTGGGAGCGGCTGAGGGGATTTCATTAAATAATGTGCTTGAAGTGCTATGCAAAGGACTGAGAGCAGGGCCGCTCTTTATAAATAGACACTATAGCACCTCCCTCGTGGGTTGTCTGTTGCTGTTTCGAATGTTCTAGAACCTCTTTAGGATCAAATGGAATTCCTGAAGCTATTTCCATATCATTCAAGTGTCCAGTGTGTACAATAAATGTAGCACAAATTAAGCTATGCTCAGTCCTCAGGCCCGCAGTTCCAGCTTCCCTCAGGAGCTGCACTGATTCACTCAATACTCATTCATTCAGGGCCTGCTCGAGTCTATGGGTCGTTAGAAATGCCAGAAAGACTTGACTGCTCCTGGAGCTGTGTTCCTGCAGTGTACTTGGCATGTGGAAGAAACGGGTGTGTCTGGTTAAGAAATGGTGAAGTGATTAGTTGAAAGGAATTCAGTGTCTCTGACACAGGAACCATTCTGTAAACTAAGTCGAACCAGCACGCCATTGTGAGTCATCACTACAGCCCAATTCCAGGATCCAGTATACACAGGAAGTGTACGCAGTGCCAGAGCTCCAAGCGGGGTTACGTGTGTCCACTTCCCTCTTCCTAGCAGAGGATGCAGGAGGACAAGCTGGGAACACTGGAGGTTTCGTTCATTATAGAAAGCCAGAGTCACTGAAAATAAGCTTGCTTTCCTGGTGGGCCTCTGGACCCCAGGTGTCCTACCCCCTGCCCTCCTTCTTTCCTCCTCCTCTTCCAGTCCAAGCCCCTTCCCCACAAATGCACTCAGGCTGTGACCCCCTGGGTTTGCTTCCTTTGAGAGCTGGAGGAGTGTGTTAATGGATTCCTGCCCTCACCCCCTCACATTACCCTCCAGTGACCAAGAGCAGGCACTAGTAACTCTGGAAATGGAGCCCTCTTGTCTCTTGGGATCCTCTGGGTGACTAATAGCTAAAGATAGATGAGACTTCAATGACAGCTGATCTTTAATGAATGGCTCCATCCGATGATGAGACCTCAGGCTGTATGACACGGACCAGTACATTGTAGAGCAGCTCATGGAGCGAGAGATAACTGCCGCCCAGTAGTCTCCTTGCTTTGGAAAAGTCAACTTGAGTATAATGGAGTTTTGGGAGAACTAGGATAAGTAATGGATAAATAAAATCAGGTTTAGCAGAGCCTTCAGTGAAAACAACTTTATGCAATGTTACGGTTAATTACTGTCTCATCAGGGCGTCTAGGATATTCTGGCACTGTGCTAAGTGCTCTTACAGATAGAGGAGATTAACATTGTGAGGGACTTCCCATTGCTTTCAAAATAGACTCTTCTCAGCCCAACGGGCATAGACGACCCCATGTGACCTGATCCTGTGTGCCTCACCAATCTCGTCTTCCAACTTGTCTGCCTGGAGAATTCTCATCAGTCAGTCGCTCACTTTTCCACTCCCACCCAACCCACCACAGGCCTAGATTAAGTGCCTTTGTGCTGCTGCTGCTTGACCCATTGGAGCACTTCTCAGTGGGGCCTAAGAATTTTATCACTCTCTAGTCAGACTCAACTGCACATAACAGTCAGGGACACCTGGTCTGTCTATGAACGTGGGCAGTAAGTATTTGTTGGTTGAAAGTCAAAAGGCTAATCCCAACTAAAGGAGTTTTATGATCCCCTTTGGAGGGATAAGGCACATA